CCTCCCAAGTGGCTCTTGTAATTAAGAGCAATGTTCCATGTAAATAATGTTTTACATACTCCAACATGGAGTGAGGAGGTCCATTCAAAAAATAAATAAAAATTCAAATGGACCCTACCAATGTGAGAGAGCATATATCAACCTTATGCACAAATTATTATGTACAAGCAGAATTACTGAATTATACAAAGAGATAATGTGCAGGTCAAGGAGACATTATCCAAAGAAATAATGTGCAGGTCAAGGAAACAGAGGAAAGAATCTACTGTGGTATGATTACCGTGTACTTTTCGTTCTCTGCGGAAATGCACCAATGGCCCCATGGAGCAATTTCCCAGTTGACTGATCCATTCCATGGTACAAACTCGTAGAAAACCCCTCCATAGTGAACTCCAATCTACGCATGCACAATTCGATCAATGTATTGCATCATATCAAAAATAAAATGTAACGTTAAGAGAAACAAATAATGGAGACTTAACATAATGAAAGGTGGCAGCCATTAGCATTTGTTATCCTCAAATTAATCTTTTTTTTATGAATTTATTACAAATCCTTTTGCATGAACATTGTTTCCTTTTCCTTCTCTTTTAATATGATAACATGCAGATCATAACATTCAGAAGTATTAACTGAAATGGGTTCCCAGTGACCAAATTCTTGCAATATGCATTTCTCCCGACTGTACATAATATGATTTCTTCTAGTTATCATAAGCAGCGATAAATTTAAAACTTGGATCCATCATATTTATGATTTACTAGTGCAGCATTTTCATAAGTCTCAGACAATCCAGGCAGCTGTCTCAGTCCACCAGCGGCAGTCAATGCAACTTCTCCATCAGCTCCCTCAAATACATTACATTGCACCTGTAAAGAAAACCAGGCACTAAGCATGGAAACAAAATATGTAAAAGAGAACCATACTAAATGATCGAGGATTATATTTTATTCATATACTATATAAGATATCACAGCATGTACCCAGAACCACTTTCTTGGGAAGGCGCCACCCCAGTTCTTCTCGGAATATGACGGAGCATTTCTAAACTCGTATCGTCTATCACCCCACTCGATCCAACCTACAGTTAAAAAAAAGGAATTAAAGCTCAACTCAATAATTTTAATCAATTTCTTCATCTGGCATTAAGAGCAAAAGCATAAACTTCATAATAAACATTTTCCTTTAACAGGACTACAGCTGATAGCAGAAGCATACACATCATTCAGCCTGCCCTATGTTGTAATTCACCCAAAGCCAAAAGAAAAACAGCAAAAAGACAAGAAGAAAAACACTCATGATTTCAATCTGTGCAAGAGAAAAAATAAACTGGGACCTAAAAGAGATTACCTGTGGAAAGTCCACCTGCCATGCATATTTGCCAATGAGGCTCGAAGACAGGGAAGGCAGCAAGCCATCCTGCTGTGGACTTTTGCTTTGACCCAACATTTCCCCATCCATAAACGGGGCGTGTGTTGTACGCCCAGCGTGCCGTTTTCACGATCTCTGCGTAATTCGTTCTGTGAAGCTAAATCATGTTAAAAATACACAAGAAAAATATATCTTCTTTACAGTACACAGTTGACAGTTTACATGGCTGGATTAGGCATAATAATGACACTTACTAAAATAACGTTAGTTAAAAATAAAAGACAGATAAATATATGGCATGCACCATATTCTAATTCCTTTCAATAAGCAATCAGATCTACGTCTATCAATCCTCCAGATACATGTAAGTGAGCATGTTAGACTAGGCAACAGTTATGCAGGAAAAAATTTACAAGACAGATTGAGATTGCCAAATCAGTCACTGTCCAGAATATCAATTAATGTGAAACATCTTTCGCAATAAACTGCGCAATTGATAGGATCTTACAATCATTTTAGGTTTCCATTTAGGTCGTGAAAGAATGTTTACCTTCCATCATCACGAATATAGCCCTGATGCCAAAGTGGTGTAACCTGGAAACCTTCTAAAACTCTTCGGTTGAACTCCTGAACAAACAATTTATCATATAGAATCAAAATTGAAACTTATGTTGTGAAGAAAAGATGACCCAGACAGGTTAGGCTGAACACCAATCAGAGGATAAACTTGCTGACCTGTGGAGGAATCTCTTTCTTAGGAGGCTGCATATTGGCTTGCCTCACGAAAGTATTACCTAGCATCAGCTCGCCCCTGTCTGCCAAATAAAAATGAAACACCCATTACAATACTGACTCAATCTCACACAAAGATGATGTACACACACTCAGAACTACAACTTTTGCAAAATACAGCATTTAAACCAAAATTTGAGGTTATGACCTATTTTATATCTTCTCTAAAACTGAAATCTCATCAAACAAATCCATAAGTTCCAATCATCTCTCATGATCCTTTGATTCCCTCAAAAAAAAAAAAAAATTGAGAACAACAGCTACAACGTTCACATTACAACAAAGAAACATACTTCCCCAAAAATTCGTCGACTCCTCAGTGTACTGGCAGATGTATTTATCGTCAGCTCCTAGAATTTGAGCTCCAACTCCCGTAAACCGGGACCCATACTGTGCTTCTTCAATTTTGCTCAACTTTTTTGGAAATGCCGGGTTCTCCACTGAATACATGAAGCAAAAACTCTGCTTGCATTCTGGGATTGAGACCTTAAAGTACCACCCCTCGAAAAATCTTCGTGCGGTTCTATCATAATGATACCTATTCAAAGAATTTATTAATCTATGAAAGTTTCTAGGGAAACTTTGAGCAAGAGAGAGAGAGGGGGAGGAGGAGGAGGAGAGAGATATGAATTTACCCGCTGTGAGGAGTTCGAAGAGGGCGATGGGTAGGTGTGCGTTCATAATCAGGCTCCAACCGAACAACATCATCCCCTGGCTCGTTAGCAAGAGAGTCGGTTTTCAATACTGATTTAACGGCAAACGGGAGAGATTTATTTTGGAACCTCATCTTCGCCGGTGAATATGGAGCTTTTTCGCCGGCTTTGAGACGAGCGATGGGCCAATTGAAGCATGAATTGTTGGAGATGGTAGTGAGATTCTCCATGGATGAAGGGGAGCGTGCGGCTGTGTGGATTTTATATGACTCTTCGCTGCGGCGGAGGGAGGTGGCGCGGGTGTTGGGCAGCCACACCACACTTGGTGACAGACAGGCGGTTTGTTTTACGTGGCCAATTGGAATCGATTGCCAACAATTGCTCCCAAGAATTATCAATCTACACAATTTACACGTATTTTTAGTTTTCCCCAATTTGGGAACAGTAAAAAGTAAAAACACAAGAATTTCACTGTAAGCCACCTTTTTAGCAGGACGCTTCGCACCGCCGTGGTGCTGGCCACCCGAGGGCCATGCTTAGGTCCCTCGCCAATTCGTGGCCCTCTCGGTTGGGTAATGTTTTTGCCTCCTTGCAGGTCTAGAAGCGGTCCCAGCGTTCGACGATGTGGATGGGCAGCAAGCTTCGGTTACTGCTTGTGGTGGTCTGAGTCGAGGTTAGCTTCTTTACTCCCCTTGCTTTCTTATCTTATCTGTTGGTATATTACTGAAAGTTTGGTTTTTAATGTTATTTACGCTACTTCTATTGAATGAGAATAATGTTTGATTAAACAAGTTTTATGTTCTGTTGTTTTGCACTTAGATAAAATGGTTCATCACGGATAGACAAAGTGAGACTGTAGCAACGGAAAATTGTGTTGCACTCGGGCAGGTTTTTGCTACTAATAAACAATAGAAACAATAATAATTCGTTACATTAGTTAGTGAAAACAAGGGTTCTGATGCTCAGAGACGGATTTCGTTCCGTTGCTATCACTGACGGTTTTTGTAACAAGCAAGCCGTTTCTAGTATTTGAGAAATAGCAACCAAATAAGAAACGAGACTATTTATTCCTAATTATTGAGTAATAGAAACCAAATTAGACACGAGAAATTTTGTTCTTACTTATTCATTAATAGAAACCAAAGTACAAACAAGAATACTTGTTCTTAATTATTCAGTAATAGAAACCAAATTAGAAAACGAGACTATTTTTTCTTAATTATTCAGTAATAAAAACCAAATTAGAAACGAAATCATCGTTTCGATGTCTCATTTCAGCTACAAAATTTGTAACAGATTGGTTTGTTCTCAATAACTTAATTTTAGTGACAATTACAATATAATGGCATATTCCATTTTTCATTGTTGCATTAAGTAATCACAAGATCAGTTTTTCAGTAAATTTGTGTTGCATCAAATGAATTCATTAATACCACTTACGATAAGCAAGCAAGATTAAATAAAAATAAAATAAAATACAATTATTTTAATTCATCAATACAATAATAAAAATTTCAATTGATAAAACATCAAAGTACAATTAATACAAACTACTAATCATTTTATATCCTCAAATAAAATGGGAAGTAATATTTTTAACATTTGATGATTATGCCCCAGTAGAACTCGTTGAGCCTTCTCTTTTTTTTGTGCCGCAGAGATGAATCCGTCATACATTGGCAGCTTATTCAAGTCAAGATACAATAATGATTCCTGAGTCGCTTCCAAGTCAAGACAATAATGATTCCTGAGTCGCTGTGATGAACCCGTCATATGTTGGTAGCTTATTCAAGTCCAACTGCAATATCAATGCCTCTTCTTTAGTGTTACATTCTTGTGGCTGTATATAATAATCAAATTATTCATAACTCATCATATCATAAATTGGTGAAAAGTAAAAAATAAAAAAAATAATAAAAAAAAAACTTAAATTTGCACTTACAAGTATTTATTTTCCCATCCTTCTCCATAAACTTTACCATTCTCACCATAGAAGGAAGGATTTAAGATTTCTGGAGACTGGCGGATAATTCAAATCCAATCTTAATTATTTATTAATTACAATTCAATATTTATTAATTAATTACAACTCCCTATTTACTAACTTAACCTATTGTGCAACTCAATAATTATTTATTAACTTTACATTTATAGCTTTTTTATAAAATAAATTATAATAGTTAGCATACAATATTTCAATATTATTAGTTATCATACTTACAATATTTTAATACATAATTGTAGATAGTATAAGGAAATTAGAGTCAATCATAAATGATAAATCGTATAACATACTATATTTTAAATATAAATTTATATTATTACCCGTAAGACTTACGTGACAAATGGGGCGATTTCTTGACAGTTTAGAAGCACATATAATGTCACAGCCTTATGCTCCTCAGATGTGAGGAGTTCAAAATTTGAACTTTGGCTGCCAATTGGACGTCCTGAATTGGAGAACACTGACAATCGATCAAGGGTCTCAACGTTACCTCCATCGTCATTTCTTGGTGCACGGTTGAATCCCGTTTCAATGTTATGATCAAAATACATTGAACAAAAGTTCGACGTCTCCTCAATCAAGTATGCCTCGACAATATGCTTCCACTCGAGCTCAATTTGTGATCTTTTTCTTTAGATGGTGTATGAATCTACATAATAAAAATCATGTTTGTATCGTCATTATTTTTAAACCACAAGAATACTCAACATAAATCTTACAATGGTCTTAAAACCTTCAATTTGAACTTTTGCAAGACCATTTAAATATTTACTAAAAATGTGACATAAATAATTATATGCATACAATAAATTTTCACTGAATTTTTTAGAAATATTTTCATGAACTGATTCTGATTCAATAAGCAGTAATGGAAAAATAACATATAATTAACATGTGTGCTATTTGAACTAACAAGCAAATATACGACTGAACGAAATAATCCAGCACAATGTGCACTACATTCAAAACAGATTATTTGACATAAGGTAAACTTACTAGTACAGTAACTCATAGTATATCAATACATCTTTAGGCACAAATATAAGATTCAATACAAAAAATAAAAAATAAAAAATACCTTTCAAATGATACATCCAACAATACTTCACCGGACCACCTACCTTAGCTTCATAAGCTAAGCGTGCGGGCAAATTCTCCATTGAATCAAAAAATCATGGGGGAAATTATATTTTCTAACTTGTATAATGTCACTATGATATTTTCTTCGAGACGTTGCATGTCTTCCACTTTCACCGTAGTGGAACATATATCCCTAAAAAAGTGGCTCACTCTCGTTAAAGCTTCCCAAAATGGCTTCGGTAGTGCATTCTTAAATGCTATGGGCATCAGTCGTTGCATAAAAAATATGACAATCATGACTCTTCATTCCGAACGATTCCGAATCATCTTTTACGCAACGTGCAATATTTGATGCATAACCATCTGGCATTTTTAAATTTCTAATCCACCTAAACACTTCTCATTTTTCCTCCTTCTTCAAGGAATAAGAGGCACGCGACTTACAAAACCTTCCTCCTTCGTTTTTGGTAATATGAAGTTGTGGACGCTTACAATAAATTTCCAAATCCTTTCTCGATTTGATGTTGTCTTTAGTTTTGCTCTTAATATCCATGACTGTGTTAAACACATTATCAAAAAAATTCTTCTCTATATGCATCACATCCAAATTATGACGTATCAAATTGGTAATGCCAATAAGGCAACTCCCAAAATATGTTTCTCCACACCCAATTATGTTTTCGTCCAAAACCATCTATTTTTGAGTCTTTTATAGATGTGCCATTAACAACATCAGGAAGCTTATCAACAATCTCTCGCATCTGCTCACCAGATAATCTAGGTGCCGCCACATCCTTTTCTATTCGACCTTTAAAAAAATTTTCACGTTGTCTCCTGAAAGGGTGATCCAATGGTAAAAATTGGCGGTGACAATCAAATAAAGATATCTTCTGTCCGAACTTAAGCCTGAATGATTTTTGAAGAATCCATACAATAGGGACATGCCAGTTGACCATGTGTACACCATCCTGACAACATGCCATAAGCGGGAAAATCACTAATAGTCCACATTAACGCTGCTCTCAGCTGAAAATTTTGATTTTTTTGAACGTCAAATGTGTCCACACCATCATGCCACAACATTTTCAGCTCATCAATTAACGGTCGTAAATACACATCAAGATTTTTTTCAGGACTTTTTTGTCCAGGAATCACCATGCTAAAAAACATGCTATTCTGATTCAACATCCACGGTGGCAAATTATAGACAGTGATAATAACATGCCAACAAGAGTACTTTGAGCCAGAAGTATTGAAAGGACAAAATCCATCCGCACATAAACCGAACCCCACAAGAATCAAGGCAAAAAATTGGGAATGTTCTATCAAAATGCTTCCAAGATTCACTATGTACAGGATGTGACATTCTACCATGAGTACGACCATTTTCCGCATGCCATATCATATACTTTGAAGTATGTCTAGACATAAATAGCCTTTGCAAGCGAGGAGTAAGAGGTAAGTACCTAAGTACTTTGTTTGCGAATTTTTTCCCACGTTTTTCTTTGAATCGTGGGTGCTTACAAATCGGACACTCCGTCATTTTCTTATTTTCCTCATAGTATAGAATGCAATCGTTGACACATGCATGTATCTTTTTAACCCCAAGGCCAAGACTCCGCAACATTTTTTTCGTTTTATAAAAATTCTCCTTACACTTATTATTTTATGAAAGCATACTCTTTATTATGGATATAAGACGATTAAAACAAGCTCCCGACATATTGAATTCTGACTTACAATTCAATAGTTGAGAAATAGTAAAGAGTTTAGTCTGTTTATTGCACCCTGGCCACAATGGTCGATCAACTTCTTCCAATAATCTAAAAAATTCTTCAGCTTTAGGATTTGGAACTTCTTCACCCACATCATCATGATATGCCATGTATAGTTCTGGTCCCATTGCATCCAAAACCATTGTCTCTGTAGCGTTGTCTTTCGAACTCTTTTCAACTACTTTCCTTTTAGAATTCACGCTAGGAAAAGGCTCGCCATGTGCATCCCAATTAGTGTAACCACTGAGGAATCCATAGTTGTAAAGATGGTACTTGATAACTTCTCGATCACGGAATTCTGTATTGCGGCATTGTCCACAAGGACACCTAGCCCGTTTTCTACCTTCAGTAGCTGGGAATACAAAATCAAGGAATTCATCCAGTCCTTGAATAAATCTATTTGAAAGTAAACCATCTTCGTCTCGTGGGTTCAACATCCAACTCTGATCAGAAGACATCCTGTAAATTAATGTTTACAAATAGATCATTAACTGTGTGTTGATGACCGACTTGGCTTCATGAGATTAGGGCTAAAGAC